CTCTCTTAGGCAGAATGCTATATGGAAGTAAATAGCTGGAAGGATCTGGTGAGGAGCCTATAGTGGAAGAAAAGGATTCTGAATCAGTTGTGACATTCCTCAGGCTGCAGCCTGAATTACAGGTCTGTTATGTCCCCTTAGCTCTCCAGCCTGGATCCCCTTTTACACTGCCGTACTGTCAGCATCGCAACCTTTCCAGGCTCTGTTCACCCACAGCCCCCAGCAGGTAAAGTCATTCCTAGTTGAACACAAGTGCTATATGCCCAGCCATCGATGAACAGATAGAAGGTGACACCAGCATATCCTGCAATCCCAGCCTTGTCTCTCTTCCCACCCTCCCCTCAAAAAAAGTGCCCTGTACTGTTCAGTGGCCCAGTGGAATGTACTAACTCATCATTAGTTTGTCATTCCAACAGTGGATAATGAATATACACCACCCTTGTCTCAAGTGCGGGTTTCCCAAACACACTGGTTTAGATAAAACAGTAAACCCCATTTAACTAGAGAAAGATAGATTTTAAGTGATTTACAGGTGCTAAGGCATAAGTCAGATTTAGTTCCAAAAGAGAGAGAAAACCACACTCTAATTTCTAGACTTTACCTAGGCTAACTCTAAAAGCAAAATCAGTTGTCTCACCCTTAGATGCAATATATGTCACAGGCTGCTGCTTTTTCCAACCTGGAACCACTCCCCTTAGTTCAGTGTTCTTCAGATATTTAGTGATGTCATAGGTGAGGTGGCCAGAGGCTCCCTCCCTCCCCCTTCTTATACTCTAACCCTTTGTACTGGAAAAGTCTTTGCTGGGTCATGGGGTTCAATTGCATATGTGTTCTGCAAGCTGTTCTGGGGAATTGTAAATAATTTGTTTATAACTCTCCTGCTGGTGAATCTCCGATTAAGCAGCTAATGGCCTTTTAGCACCTAGCTAGTGTCTTTGAAAAAATGGTCTGAGGGCATTAGCCAGAATGACAGCATATTTCAGTAACAATCACCTAGTAAAATCTCAGCTCCCTGTACAATGTTGATAGATTACCAAGACAATGTTGGTCTGTAGATTGAGTTTTCAAATGATACTTCAAACAAAATATATTATGCCCATACAAAAGTGGTGAACATGGGCTGCAGGGTGTCACATGGGGTACAGTATATCCCACCAATTTAAAAAGTCCCTTGGTGAAAGCTGTATGTGAGTTTTACACCTCTGTAAAACAAATTTTGCAAGCAAATTTGCTTTCTTAAGGATCTGATGTTACTTAAATAGTTTTTTAAACTTGCTCTCCTCTGTCATGGAAAAAGGTCTTTGATGCTAGGTTGGTTACTGGAAAAGTTTGACAAGTTAGAACACATTGGTTGAGTTCTCTGTCAAATGGGATTAAACATACATAACACCACTGTTCATCACTTGGTTTATCTGCCTGTAGCTTCTCTACAGTGATACCAAGAGAAAGTCTTACATTTAGATCCAGCTGCCAGTGTCAATTGCTTATAATGCAAACTCGGCTTAAGGGCAACAAAAACAAGCCAATGGTGCCTCTGTGCACTCCGCACCAGCGTTATGGTACAGGTGATGGGGGTTTAAAACACCAAGAAATCTTTGGACATTTAATGGCAATAGCAGTTTAACTCCCACTTCTTATTTGATCAGCTGCCCCTGGGGTGACCAGATACCTATGATCTAATTAAGCCAGTCAGATTTGCCAACTGCTGAGTATGTTTCAACCAGGAGCTGAGGCTAGCAGAGCATAAAAATATCAGATTCACTTAGAGTTAATACTCTACTCCATGGCTCTACTTATCAAGGAACCAGTGGTGTGGGATATGTGGCAATTTTAAGTGTGCTTATAGCTTACTGTTTGAGGTTCCAAACCCTTTCCGATGGACTGTTGCCTAGCAAACACAGGAGCAAGAGATGGAGGGACTATCTCACGTCCTCTTCCATTTTCAGGGGGAGAGAGAGCCCCTGGCACAAAAGGTTGTAAAAAGAGCAGGAAGACAAAGAGCTCAAGACAGGACCCTGTAGCTTCTCATTCCTGGGAAGGACAATTTTCTGAATCTGAGCTAAAGCCCCCAGAGGAGGAACCTCAAAGCAAGTTGTTTCAAGAGGAGTTTTGTTTCTATCCTGGCAAGTAGTGTCAGGCACTGAACCCCCACTGGAAGAACCTCAAAAGGAGGAGGCATCAAAAGATAAGAACTTACCCAGAATAGATCTAGACAGAAAGGGAGTGAAACCACTCAAACCTATCTCCTCTCCATGCAACACTGGAAGATGTAATTAGGGCTGAATGCAAAACCCAGCAAGAGCTCAGAGGCTGGCCAAGATGCAGTATCACGTTCATAGATCCAATCCAGACCTAGTTACTCTACCAAATGTGGATGCAGCCCTTTCATCCCTTGTAAAAGACAGGATGATCCCAGTTAAGGGTGATTTCTTCCCCAAGGACCAGACAGAGAGGAAGACCGATTGCTTAAGGAGGAATTCTGAAGCTTCCTCCACCACCCTCTGAGTATCCACAGCCTCCGCCTCTTCTACTTGAGCCATCTTGGCATGGACTGATTCCCTTTCAAAAATCAGAAAATATTTCTGTGTGGGAGCCATTCTGAGAGAGCTTGTGTAGCAGCAGCCTCTGTAGCGGGCACCTTCTGTGACAGCCTCAGATTCACTGTGAGGGCAATGGGATGTGACCCTGCCTCGTCATCACTTATGGCTAAGGTCATGGAAAAGGCTGATGCTCATGGCAGACAGACGCTGACCAAGGCTCTTCAGTGAGCTTGTTGACAAATCCACAGCAGGATCCTCTAAATAAAATCAAAGATGACTTTCTTGACATCCAGGTCCTCAAAAAGAGAATGTAGGCCTTATTTATTACAGATCACATTACTCCTTTTGTACCTACTCTAAGTATCTGTGGAGGGACACCCAACCAGCCCTTGGCAGATGGAATAGGTCCAAGGGCACAAGGGGCAGTCGTGATCCTCTGGAAAACCCCAATTTTTAATCAAACATGACCTGGGGCTGACCCCATGACATGTTCACTCAGAATGGGAGCAGGTGACAAAAATCTGCAGCTGGCTGCATCCACACCATGTCAGACAAACGAGTCCTGGATGGAGTCTGCTTGGGTTATGCATTAGGAGTCAAAGGCGAGTCCCAAACCTAGGTTCCTGATCTCCCAAACTTCCCCCAACTAGATGAAACACAGCTGCATGAAGATGGCTTTAGATTACCTTGCAACCACCCCCAGGCTATTTACCCAGGTGCTAGTTATCCCAACCTCTCAGAGAGGAGGGTGCATGCATATCACTTCCTGGATGGTCTTCTGATCAGGTCCCACTCCTTGGAATGAGCACAAGTTCTAGAGCATCATGGCTTCGTTATCCACCATACAGACAGCCAAATGAATCCAGTTCAGCCCAAGTTATGCTTGGAAGTCATGAGAGATACTGAGCTACACCAAGTTTTTCTAACAGACAGGATATGCAGGATGATAGATACTATCCCCCAGCAATCACTCAACTTTATTACAAGGGTTCTGATATCATCTCTCGATATGATGGTGTCCTGCAGTGGGCAAGATTCCACCTGTATTCTCTAGTTCCTGATTTCTCTGGATCCAGAGGACCCATCAACTCTATCTACCTTAATCTCGTTGCCCAAAGCAGTATTGAAATCTCTATCCTGGTGGCTGCAAATCAGCTACGCAGCAGACCACACGATGGCAGAGCCGGAGAGAACGGTGGTGACAACCAACGCCGGTCTCAAAGCATGGGGAGCCCATTCAGGGAACAAATCCATCTAAGGATCATGAATGGACAAGGAGCTTCAACACTGAATCAAATGGCCTCAATCAATCAGGAATACCTTTAAATAGTGATGTCTGACACCATAACAGCAGTAGCTTCTGTCAGCAAACACGGATGCACCAGATCCACAGCCATCCTACAGCAATCCAACCTCCTACATTCATGGGCAGAAAACAACCTTCTGTCCCTTTAAGCTCTCTACATTAAAGGGGAGTTGAGCAGCCAGGCAGATTAGCTGGGCAGACAGAAGATAGAGCTGTGGGAATGGAATCTTCACCCAGTCCTTTGACTCAATAGTCAGAGCCCTGCCTGGGTCATCCATCATGAGACGTAGTTCCAGTTTCTTCTCTAGAAGGGATCTCTGAACCAGAGCCAGCGATCAGGACCTGCCTTTCCACTTTTTGCAACACTCCCCAAGGCAATTCAGAGGCTCAGAGTTTAATTACTCAATACCCGCCCTGACTACATGCCTCCATTTGACATCCCACTCGAAGGGATGTGCACACCTTCTCTGGGCAGAATAAGAAAAATCGTACCTTACCAAAAACCTGCAAATCCCAGCCCATCCCATGCGCAGAAAGTCATTCCTGGGAGACTAATTTTCCTCTCACAACTATTCTGCCCACATGGGTTAAGGCAGAATTAATAGTTGCTGCATAGTAGGAAATGTTCGTATTGGAAATTCTGCATTTCTCTGTGTTCAGCCACCTGTTGGTTAATCCAGAGATTCGAATGTCTGAGTAGCCCCCCTGTGGAGCCGTTTGACATATGCTGATGTGACACCTGCCATCTGGGCTGACAACCTGGAGACCCTCACCGCTAAAATCATGAGTTTCTACAACTTGAGCTACAGAGCTTTGCTCTCAAGTTGAGAGCGATAACAGACCCATATCCTCTGTAGATCAGACATGGGGGGGGACACAACGTGCCGGCCATTAGGGCACATCTGACGTTAAGTACGATTAAGCCTTTTGCTTTATCAGAGCGATAAAGAATAAAGCCACCCATCTGATTATGATTGTTGCCTTCTTGTGAAAATGGGCCCAATTGTTCGAGGAAAGGGAGTGATTTTCTTTGATCTCTTGAGTTTCTATCCACATACAGTTATGTGCTCTCCAGAGTCTCACTAGCATTCAGTTTTTCTCTTAGAAATAGCACAATATACATCCCGCTTCCACATAACCACCACACAACTGTGTGTTACTCAAGCCTGGTTTAATAAGTTCTACTTGCAGAACGACAGACACACATACACCAACTTTACAGCAGGAATGAGTCAGGATCTGTTCTGCTTCTCTGGGCTAAGAGAAAATGGTCATTTTTAAGGTATGACCTGGTCTAGCCAGCGATGTTCTTGGGATTCTCTTCTCTTCACAGCTGGAGTTCATTTGGCATGCTTTCCCCTTTCAAGCCGGCCAGAAGGTTGTTAGCAGCCAGCACAGACATGGCGCTTCTCGTGGCGTAGGTAGCGCTTCCAATGTGAGGCAAAATCACTATACGGGGGAGAGAAGACATATTTCAGAGATGGGTTTGGTATTTGAGCAGCTCTGTCAATGAAATTAAGAATACATTTTAAAGCTTAATGCTTTTAAAGGGGAGATGGAAAGCATTTGTGATCTTGTACCCTTTATGTAGTATAAAAGCTACCTCTTTAAAACTAAATATTAGAAAGTGTAAAGTCAGGACCTCTTGTTCCTAACATAGAATCATAGGAGTGGAAGGGATCTCGACGGGTTATCTAGTCCAGTCTCCTGCACTCAAGACAGGACTATTATCTAGACCATCCCTGACAGGTGTTTGTCTAACCTGCTCTTAAAAAAACCCCCATGATGGAGATTCCACCACCTCCCTGGGCAATTTATTCCAGTGCTAACCACCCTGACAGTTAGGAAGTTTTTCCTAATGTCCAACCTAAACCTCCCTTGCTGCAATTTAAGCCCATTGCTTCTTCTCCTATCCTCAGAGGTTCAGAAGAACAATTTTTGTCCCTCCTCCTTATAACAACCTTTTATGTACTTGAAAACTATGTCATGTCCCCTCTCAGTCTTCTCTTCTCCAGACTAAACAAACCCAATCTAACATCTCACTGTTTGACAAGAACATAGGACTGGAAGGGTCTTCCTGGTTCACTAACTCAGGTCCCCTGCTTGTTTTAGGTAAATTAAAAAATACTATTTCTTTTGTTTTTTACAGTGCAAATATTTATAATCAAAAATAAATATAAAGTGAGCACGGTACACTTTCTAGTCCGTGTTGTAACTGAAATCAATATACTTGAAAATGTAGAAAACATCCAAAAATATTTAAATAAATGGTATTCTATTATCACTTTAATCACACGATTAATCGCGATTCATTTTTTTTTATTGGCTTGACAGCTCTACTTCTAACATGTTCATCACCTCAGTATCTGAGCAGTAAGGTCCCAATCCATTGACGTTAAGGAGACTACTCATGTGCTCAAACTAGGCAACATGCTTAAGTCCCTTGCTGAAATGGGGTCTAAGTTCTCAGCTGATGGAATACGGTGATCAGTCAGGGACATGTTTGCAAATGAGCAAATACATTTGAATGAAATAAAATTTGCCCTGAATTTAATTAACACACGCAGCTGACAAGGTTTTCCCTCCTCAATGCCCCTCATGTCACACTGCCTTGCTATGGCCCAGTGCTAAGAGCAGCTTACTGAAGCACACATGGTTTGACTTTCCCTTGCCTGTGACTAATTTGCCCCGCATATTAAACCCTTGCTAGACACGAACCATGCCAAGCTCACCAGGATTGAAATTCCTTGTCAGGTCAGTGTGGCAAACAGAATAGCAAGAACTACATGAGCCCCTTCTCTAGCCACTAGAAGCCACTGCCTCCCCATCAGAAGTGCAGGAAGTGGACTGTAAGAGAAGGTGCAAACAGCTGCTGTTTGCAAAGATGGTGGCTTACCACAATTCTTCAGGGAAAGGAGAGGGTGGTCTGTAGGCAGCGGCTCTGGGGTTGTGACATCCAGACCAGCAGCTGCAATCTGGCCACTAACCAAAGCCTGGTACAGGTCTTCCTGGTTCACCACCGCTCCCCTAAGAAACACAGTTTAAGCTATACAAGAGCTAGGTATTGTTACTAGTAAGCCAGACAAGCATGGAATACAAACACTGCCGCGTGCTTAACTTCACACACTCGAGTCGTCCCACCGGCTTCAGTGGAACGACTCACCTGCCTGAGCGTTTGCCCCATCGGCCTTAGGCAGGAATAATCAGCTCTGTATGTCACTTTGTGCCCGTTGTTCCACACCACGAACAATCAGGTTCTGCTTAACTGCTCTCTCGATGCTCTGCAACGGGTTATCGTAAGTCACTGTACCCAGGTACAAACCTGGCTGTAGTCCAGGGGTTCTCAAACAGGGGGTCGGGACCCCTCAGGGGGTCGCGAGGCTATTATATGGGGGGGTTTCAAGCGGTCAGCCTCCACCCCAAACTCCACTTTGCCTCCAGCATTTATAATGGTGTTAAATATATAAAAAAAAGTGTTTTTAATTTATAAGGGGAGGGGGGTCGCACTCAGAGGTTTGCTTTGTGAAAGGGGTCACCAGTACAAAAGGTTGAGAACCACTGCCGTAGTTGACCCATTGCATTCGAATCCCATTTGGGCACCCACAATTTGAACTGTGTTTAAGCACAGTTTTAACCCTCAGCTGTAACATCCATGTAGATGGCACCGTAGCATCTGACCAATCCCCATGCAGCTCCTATCTTCCATGGCGACAGCCCGCTGGGGAAAAGGCCGTTTGAGTATCACCACCAACCACAAACAAAGCTTTTCCACCCGGGAGTACAGCCACAGCCACTTCCTCCCATTAAGGAGAGACTCCAAGATGGCGCCCACTTTGCAGCTTTTAGAGCGGCAATAATCCCATGATATTCGCTGAACTCCAGCCTAAGGGGGAGAAAAGTTACTTTCTTGTGTACATTAATATCTAGTATCCATTTAAAAGATAGTCGCAGCAGGCCAAGCTACAAGGCTAGCAAGCACAAACTCAGAGTTGGTGCCCCAAGCCAATACTTGCCCCCCCATGGCAATTTCAGCGTAATCCCTTGACATCCATAACACCCGTCTATCAGTTACCTGAATATCACCTGCTTTTCCTTTTTTACCCACAATCTAGTCTTGTTTAAGATGACAGTGAAGATTTTCACCTGCTTGTGTTGATCAACACAGACGTTTTCTTCATTCGGCTGAAGAAATCCTTGTCGCACATTCCTTTAGTGTCAGGAGTTAAGGAACAGGTAACAACAACAAAGTCTGACTCCTCTGCTAGCTTGGTGAGTGGGACTGGGGGGGAAAAAAAATCCAAAAAACACGTCATGAGTTTCCGGAGGGGGAAGCAAGGGTGGGTCTCGTGTATTTTAACTAGTTTGGGAACTACCCAATGTCCATTAAATAGTCATCAGTGAGGGACTACTGCTTCAGGAAGATCTTGCTAACCTCACCCCATGACTGGGTTGCCAAACCCAAACAAAAACATCATATGAACAAGGTGCCATATTTTAAACGACCTTTAAAAAAAAAAAAAATAGACAAGGTGTCATCAACCAAAAGAAGAAATTTACCCATGCTTAGCAAGTCAGTCTTCCACCCCAGAGGTGGCTGCATTGTGCATTTCAGGGGTGGTACGTATTAGTTAGCAAAATATTACCATAATATTTTAAACAAACATTTAGAAGTTCTGTAAGGTCTGAAGACAGATTTGACAACTCTTTCAGCTTTCACCCAAGGATGGGAGGAGAGGAATAGGTTCACTGGATTTACAAACCAAAAGATTGACCCCAATAGAAACTGATTTTTTTGGAACCGTTTATTTTTCAAACGCAAGTCACAGCTGGGCAACAGCTTAGGACTTTGCACGACAAAGTCTATCAGTGAGTTTAACATGCAGAAAGGCACAGTAGAGCATGTGCATTATTATAGGTAGGAAAACAAATATTTGATATAAATGTGAATATATCTGAAGAGAGTCTCATTTGAGAGTTGCCAGTTATTTAAGAGGTCTGGGATGAAATCTTGGCCCCACTGAAGTCAGTGGGGTCCAGATTTCACTCATGGCATCGTCACCACTTTCAATCAACAACATATTAAATGTGTTTGCGCACTACATTCAAACACCAGCCACTTTGTGGGGCCTTAATAATTCAGCACTGCTACACTGCGCTTCAGGAAGCCTTCAAGTTTCCAATCACCACATCCAAGGACAAGATCTTCCCTGCATCAACTCATTTGGACTGTTTGTTATTCTGCACTTACGAAGAGAGCTTTGTTTCCAGAGCTGTCTTTCCAGCTTCATTTATGTCTCTTACCAAAGTCGGCTTGAAACTCCACGGCGCTCTCTGGTTTTGGGCGACTTCCCGTATACAAAAATTTCTTGACCCCAAATGGCTTTAAACGGCGCGCCACTGCCTGTCCTAAAAACAAGAAGAGGTCACGTCTCTGCACACTGCGATCATGCACTGCAGGAAGGAAACCACTAACCCTGCAATCTGACAGCCCAAAATACTCCTGCATCTATCGACAAGGCCGCAGGATGCATCCACTGTTCACTCAACTGCAATGAAACCGGCCACTTTCATTAAGAGATTACTCTAACTGCACCAGCCTGAGGTTTCCCATTCATTTTGGAGGCCACATGCTCTCATTCACTCCGTGGGAAGCGAATGAATTTTCGATTGGTAAGGCGGCTGCAGCAAAGGGAATGACGGGACATTAAATCTGAAGTGACATTTTGGAGAGAAAATTGAAGGAAGGAAAAAAAAAAAATCCATTGACCAACTCCACAAGCTAATAGACAAGCCAGCACTCCCGTGTACCATGGACTTTGGGATATTTGTTTAACTGAAACAAAGCAAGAGAAAGTCCAGTTTGCTTTAGGAGTCCGATAAGGTGGAAATATGTGAATGTTTTACAGCTTAAGGTCTAAGCCTGATTGCAATCGCACGCTGATTAGTAGGATGGAGAGAGAGATTCCTGCTTAGTCAGCCTGTGGCTCCTGGGAGGGCAGGTGAATGGGGGAGTGTTCCATCAGCCACTGGTTTGAATGTCCTCGGAATGTTTTGTCCTTCACAGTTCTCTTTATTTATTTTTCAGTTTCTGTGAATGTGTCCAGCACTGCTACCACGGGGCACAGTTAAACACAAAATTGTTAGCATAACCAAAGAATGAAGTAACTTGTGAACTCCCCACCTAACGGGTGAGAGCATAAATGTCTGCTCAGCAAAAGCCTGAGCGAACATAGGGGCTGAAAGTTACATCCAGGATTCATCGGATTCTATAACTAACAAGAAGGAGAACACCTGAGTCATGGGTTGTTCCCTGCAGGAAAGGGGGCTAGACACAAATTCACATGCACACAAAAAACAGAGGCAAAGAGAAGAAAGTTTCTGGCCGTGATAAAACTGAGTAAAATATTAAAGCTACAGAGAGTACACACTGGCGAGCTAAACATCTTCTTACTGATCACTGAGTTTGTTATTTTAATCCAACAGTCTATTCTATGCAGGTAGTTGTACCATGCTCATCACCAGCGTATCTGAGCGCCTTCCACTAGTGCATTAAGTAACGACAGCTGGCCTGTATCCGTTCTCTCATCCCCTCCCCAGAGGGAGGGGTATGTGCAGTGAAGTGTCTTCTTTTGGAAAATTCTCTCTCTCTCTCTCTCTCACACACACACACACGTTGCTATGTCAGTCAAAATACTAGTATACATCTACACAATACAATTCACTCACCTATTCTTCCCAGCCCTATGATTCCTACAGTGCTATCAGACAGCCCGTACCCACACATCCACAGAGGCTTCCACGTTGTCCAACCACCACTACAAAAAGGAGTGAAATACAAACAGATGTTAGACCGATTCCATTTTCCAGGTTGGCCTGGAGTCTGGATATGGACCCAACAAATGACGAATGGCACAAATACTTCACAACCCCTGTGTCACATACCGGTGGCAATGATTTAGCACCCTAGAAACAGAAATGAACAGGTATGAATGGTGCTAACATGAAGCGACGGGCTCTACAATGTTCCTGCTGTAAGTCACCTTTAGCGTTAATTAGAGCAGCCTCAAGACTGATCTAACTTTTGTTCCACTCCCCACAGCCTCTGGGTACAGCCTTTGTGCAGTGAACTCTGGCCATACCTCCAACGTCCTTCCCGCACTGGGAGCAGGGCCAGTGCAGGGCCCTTCCAGTTGCTCTCTTCTGGCCAGGGAGGCCCCATGAACAATTTTCACCTCCTTTAAGGCCCCTTTATACTGCCACACACGCTCTAGCTGGATCACTGCCCAAGCACGCAGAGTTATGCCTTAGATTTAGGACTTAAAACAGCCTCTTTGTTAATTGTACTTAACTCACTGGGCTCATAGAACGATGCTGATCTCAGCTAGTCCAGTGCAAATCCAGAGTAACTGTAACTGCATCCATGTAAACGTCTCAAGGCAGGAACTGCCTTTACTTTGGTGTATTCGGGTCCAGGATTGATCAAGCATACAGTCTATGGAGTTACTCCAGACTCTCACGGACGTCGCACAGCTCAGAAGCCAGCCCTAAATTGTCAATACTCACTTCTTCACTGCCTCCGCTGACTCCGGCAGCCTGCGACACGCAGCTAAGAGCAAAGCTACCGAGAGCTCGGCCGTGGCGTCCGTCAAGATGTCCGGGGTGTATCCCACACGGATTCCACTGCAATTCAAACACAGCATTTCGGTCCTCAAGTGTTAACACGTGAAATGCTAGTTTGCGCGTTTGTTTACATTTGGACGAAATCCTGTTTGTATTACACTTCATTCTGCGGGGCATTTTTCCCCACACAGGTTCTTATATTACCATATTATCGGAGCACCAAGCAAATAATAATTAATCTATCATCGATCCTCACAACCCCGCTGGGAGCTCGGGCCGTGCTCTTATCCCCATTGTACAGACGGGGCACTGAGGCCCAGAGAGAGACTGAGGGTCACGTTTTAAAAGCTATCTAGGGCCTGTGGTAGAACTGGAAACCGAATCAACGTTTCCCCGAGTCCCAGTGCAATGCCTTACCCCCAAGCCGACCCATTCTCTGTTCCAATTGGTTTCTCTCAATTAACAGTTCTCCATTTCTTGCACCCAAGAGGCAGGGGACACAGCAAATAGCGGAAGAAAATGCCTTCCATGGTTAAGAGTTAGCACACAAAGGAGCAAACAATACCGCTTTTTAATTTCTTCTAGAGCCAGATGGTCAACACCCACAGACAGCGTGCTGATTACTTTAAGGTTAGACCCTGCAAAACATGAAGACAGAACCCTCAAAACGAACGAAACACAACAATGGAAAAATGAAAGGATAAAAATGTCTTACAATTACCGGCTTGTAATTGTCTGAATCTTTGGAATCTACTCTAATGACCAGAAACACCTAACAGGGCTGACACTGAAGGAAGTCAGCAAAACCGAAATACCACTTTTTCAGGCAACTGACTCTGGACATTTGACTGTGCTTTGTGCATAGTCAGTTTCACTGTTTCCCCTTCACAGCTGGTCAGTTTTCTCCTTCCCTGAGATTCACAGAGTTAGGCCAGAGTGACCATTATGACCATCTGATCTGATCTCCTGTTAACACAGGCCAGGGAACGTCACCCAGTCATTTCTGCATCAAGCTCGTAACTTCTGCTGGACCAGAACAGATTTTTTACAAGACACCTTGTAAACATCAACTGGGAAGGGAAGCAGAAAATCCCTTATAACTTTTAAAAGAATTGAAACCAAAATCAGGATTTGCCAGAAATAGGATTTTTTTACAATGCCAAAAACATCAAAGAAAGTTGAGTGTCCCGTTAGCTAAGGAAAAGTCTCTTTAAAGATGCTGCATCTATATTCCTAGCTGCTTCTCTTTGACTGGGATGGGAACAAGTCATTCTTTAGTGGTCATTTTCTGGGGAACTCTACGCTAGGCAAAGAAGTTTCTTCTTGCAGGGAAAAAAAAACCACACACCCAAAAGGGACTGACAGTGAATTCTGGCCAGTGGACACTAGGGAGCTAGACACATCTCTTCGCGCCTTACAACTCTGTGCCGCCATGATGGAGGGACAGCGTGAGGTGGAATTTAAATGGAGGATTCGTATTAATGCATGGCAGCAAAGGAAGGGTCAGCCAATCCGCTTCTCAGGGGCTGTGAGGGCGAGACACCGGGACCGAGATCCGGGCAGCACAGATACAATTCTGTATGTCCTCTCTTTTTTCGATGACAAAAGATCAGCTAGAGCCATTCACAAGAGAGCCGCCACCCATACCCACCTGCTGCATCGAGGACCTCTTTGTCTATCCGTTCAGACAAGAGACAGAGCAGTCCATGCTTCCCAGCCACACCCGCCAGCAATTCTGACCGCGGGATAGGTTCGTCTGAATCCCATTGCTGGATGCTGCAGCTACAAGGATACATGAAAGTCACAAATCACATTAAAGCACGAGAAAGAGGCCCCCTTCAAGCCAGCGCTGCGTATTGCCCCAGGTATTCGTACTGTGTTTGCCGAGGGAAGTCAACAAAATGGAGTGAGAAACGCGCTCTTATTTTAGGCAGGAAGGTTAGGATTCCCTCCTTTCCTTCCTTGTGGATTTCTCTTTCACAGCCCAGGACTGTGGCACACAGTTACTAAAATACAGCCACCTGATGTCCTGTGTAGCACACGCAAGCCACCTGTGAACTGGCACACGAAAGGTCCGGCACCTTCTTTCAATAACTGCAGCAGCGGAAGGAGGAATAGTGGCAGGATCTCTTCACGCGTAGAGCAAAGAACATTAGTCTTGCAATGACCTGAGAACACACGCACGCTGCTCGCTTGGAACACCTTCTGAGCTCTGGCATCACTTTCAGCTTGTTCAAACCTTGCCTCAAGCCTGCATCAGCTGGGATCACTGCATACTGGTCTGGTGGTCTTTACACGGGCTGTCTAATGCTCCAAATGGTACAGACGTCAGGGCAGGTCAAGAACTTCCCCTTGAGCCTCAGCCTGGATGGTATCTGTGCTCAGAAGTGACCAGTCTTTCAGGGATCCCGCCCCCGCAGGACTGCCTCAGCAGCCCTTACTGTGGAGAGTCCTCGGCTTTCCCTTAACCTTTACCCCAGTTCATCTTTCCACACTTTCAAATAGCAACTGAAACTTTTCCTACTTGGCCTCTCTAGTTTCTTATATGGCTCCCCCACCACTGGAATATCTGAGCACCTCCTAATCAACAATGAATTTATCTCCACAGCACCCCCACGAGGCAGGGAAGTATTATCATTGCCATTTTACAGATGGGGAAACTGAGGCATGGACAGACTAAGCGACTTTTCCGAGGTCACACAGGGCAGTCTGCACCCCTAGCCAGCCCCTTAATCACACAGACCTCATTGCCCACTCCTTTCTGAAGGCCTTGTTTTGGATGCTGGTCGATGTCCTCTTTGCATTTTAAGAGGGTGATTTTTTACTGTTCTCGGGCAGCCCGTGGTGCCCCAACAATGCTCTGTGAACACATTACTGCAAATCAATTTGGGGGCCTACCACTTTACAGAAGGCTTGGAATGCTGCAGGCAATTTAAACAAAGACACCACACAACCGCTCACTGCCCATGCACTAGCGTGTGTGTACTGGGGGGGAGGCGGGGGTCATTGCAGTAATGCCAGTAACTGATATTTTGCAATATGTGAAAGTTGCTTATTTTCTTAAAGAACAAACACGGGCACGAAACACAACGTAACTCATTTTAGCACATTCAATGCATGAAACAACGCTGAGCGGTCAGAACCTGTGCGCCTGGAGAAGGGTAATCCAGTGGCAGCCACAGTAGAGCTGGGGGGGGGGGGGAAAAGGGGGGGGTGAACAGTTTTAGGGCCGGGTTTCCCCTTTGGCTTTGCATAGACAAAATAATGGGTGTGTGCGTGTGCGGGGGGGGGGAAAGTCAGCTGTAGTTAGGAAAACAACTTTTAATAGAAACACACGTTTGGTTCTGAATGTTTTGCCTGGGAAGTACTGGAAGGCCGGAGATGGCTAAAAAACTGCTGATCCAAGGATAACGTACAATGTCAAACTAAGGTTAAAAAATTCAAGGAACCCATAGCCGGAGAGAGGGAGGGAGGACACATAACAGGCCTCCTTCTGCTCCCATTGAAGTCAATGGCAAAACCCCCATTGATTTCCCTGCTGCAAAACACAGGCCCTGATCCTACCAACACGTAGGCATGGCCTTAATTTTATGCACATGAATAATTCCACTGATGTCAACTGGATTAGCCAGGTGCATAAAATTAAGGACATACACAAGTGTTTACAGAATTGGAATTGGGACCTTAGCTGGCTATATTCTATGCACAGCATCGTTATGGTTATTTTAACTTTTGCTTCTTGGAATCAAAGGCCCCGACCAGCATCTGAGATCAATGGCTTACAAAATATTTCTGCATAAAAAAAAAAAAAAGAGGAGTCTTTTCAAGTCACAGGAAGGGAAAAAGGGGTTCTGGGCAAATTTTTCAAAAGTGCCGCAAATCCCCAAATCAAGGGGATTTAGGTGTTTGTCTAGCTCTGTGGATCTGGGGGTCTAAGTGATTTAGGAGCCCAAATCCTATTGAAAGTCAGTGGGACTCCGAGGCTTCAAAGGACAACATTTTCAGAAGTGCCTAACACAAGAGCGCAGCAGTTTGTTTCTTTCCTTGTAAATAAAACCAGCTCTCTGTCCCCCAGGCCTCAGCCTCGGATGGGTCATTTACAAGAAAAAAGAAATTACCACCCAGCTATAAACGCCTCCGAGCATCAGAGGGTGTCATGGAAAGGGTCAGAAACGGAACTGCCGTAAAATAGCTGGCACCACAACAATCCACGTTCTAACCCCCTGCCCCTTGCCCTATGGGACACAGAACGCACCAGAGCGCACGCTAGATAATCACGCTAGGTCTGAAATAGGCTGTAAACTCTTCAGGGCTGGGTCTCTGTCTTTTTACTACAGCTGCACGTTCACTTGCAGAGCAACAAGGGATGAAATCAACGACTACATTTGTACCCAAAACCTTAATTTCCCCGGTTGGATCCTTCTCTCTAGAGCAGCAGCTGAAGGTTCTTATCCTCAGGCGGGCAGCACCTGGGGGCAGAGGCGTCTTTCTGTTCAGTGTTTGTACAGCGCCCAGCACCAGGGGCCCTGACTGGCGCTGCTGGGCACCATGGCAATACACAGAACATCACAGTGAGGACCATTTGCCAAGGCGTTCTCTGCCTGCACCTGGCTGCTGGTGGCAGCAATGGGAACAGGACCCCAGCGCATTTCAGGGGGGCGGTACGCCCGTCACTGGCGCTGGTGAAGGACTCCTCAGCCCCGGGGACACAGGCCTGGGACCTGCCTTTCCACAAGCAGCGGCTAGTTCTGGGTGCCCAGGCTGCCACCCCTCCGAGGGCTGGGCACTGCCCGGCCTCCCAGCAGGGCCGGGGCTGCTCAGCACCGCTCAGGATCGAGCCCCGAGTCTGGCCCCCAACCCCTGCCCCCAGGCTGCCCATGCGGGCAGCCCCCTGCCCCCGCAGAGCCCCACTGGCCACCCCGGCGGGGCCCCGCCCAGCCACGGAACCGCCTGCTGCGAACGGGCCCGGCCGCACGTGGGGGGAGCCCAGCGCCCGCCCGGCTCTGCAGCCCCCGCCCGGGGGAGAACCGGGCCCGGGCCCCCGCCGCCT